TTTCTATAGTGGTTAAACCATATTACAGTCCCACCAGCAATGTAGGAGGGTCCTGGTCTCTACACACTCTTGCCGGCAGTTATCATCCTCTGGTTTTGAACTTCACTATTGTTACTGGTGTGAGATAATATCCCATTGTTTTGATTTGCATCTCTCCAGTGGCTAATAATTGTGAACATTTCTTCACATGTTTGTTGGCTGTCTGAATGTCTTCCTTGGTGAAGTGTTTGTTCATGTCCTGTGTCCATTTTCAAATTCGGTTATTTGTCTATTTCTCATAGGTGTGTAGTTTCTATAAATTTTAGAGCTTAGTCCCTTGTCTGATAATGTCGTTGCAAAAAAATTTTCTGTCTGTGGGCTCCCTTTTTATTCTTTTGATAAAATCTTTGAGCACACGAGTTTCTAGTTTTTAGTATGTCCCAATCATTTATTTTGTCTTCTTTTTATGGTTTTTTGCAGCGTTTGATTTGTCCCTATTTTTTCACTGATGATCTCTATAGTTCTCAGATTTACATTTAGGTCTTTAATCCATGTTGAGTTAGTTTTTGAATCTTGTTTCATTCTTTTGCAAATGGATTTTCCAGTTTTGCCAGACCATTTGTTCAAGAGAGTGATCTTTCCCCATTTAATAATGTATTTTGGCCCTTTGCCTTCAGACATATTTTTGTTTCTAAAATGCAAAGAATATTTAAAAGGAACCTGATTTGAGTTCCCCAAGGATGCCAAAACTGCCATTTTTTTGTTCTGTGAATCGAGTGAAGAATTTCGGGGGGAAGGATTAGAGAGATGGAAACATTGTCTTCAGAAGTTTGTGTATTTAGATAGAAGATACGTCATATTGTGAATTATGTGCTAGTTTACATGGGAGAACATTAGCTTTACATTCATCCTATCGTATATTGTTTCACTGCCATGGTTAACAATCCCCTCCATGCATCATCAACCAACCAAAGGTTACCCCTTAAGCCTGCCCCTCCCTCGGTTGTCAGTACACAGCCCCTCTCTCTTTCTGGGTCTAGAGTCCCCAGCCGCTCCATCTGTCCACATCATTGTCTCTGCCTCCATCTCTGGTGTCACTGTTCTCTGGGTAGGGTCCTGCACTCTGCTCTTCTCCCTTGATGGTCCCAGGGACTTCCACTCCTGGACTGCAAAATCATCCACTCCCCTCCTTTTCTAGCAGTACTTTTTGACATAATGTTATATATAATAAATAGTATTTACCTCTTTTGCCTTGAACTCTATTACTCCTCCAAGTGTCTTCTATTGCCTTCCTCTTTTACCTAGCATTGTTGATGGTCAATAGTCCTTGCAGTTTGTAGACAGGCAGGTGGTACCCCAATTCAAACAGTTTTTTTCCTATTAGAAAGCCTGCTACATTGCTTTTAAAACTTCCCCCAGATGGGACAGATTCAATGGATTATTTCTTCCTGCATTTCTGCACCTCATCTTTTTATAGCTCTGTTTCAGGAAACATATAATACCTAGCTTAGATTCAAGAAAAACAGTTTAAATGGGAAGTGTTGTTGTTATGTGCCATGGAGTTGGTCCTGACTCATAACAACCCTGTACAGTGTTTCTGAGGCTGTAAATCTTTACTTTCTCCCGTGGAACAGCTGGTTATGTCAAACTGCTGACTGTGAGATTAGCAGTCTGATTTGTAACCACTATGCTACACTGAATTGTCCTTCATTCACCTAACTGTTGTTCCCTATTCTGAAGCTCCTCTCACTGAGAAAGCAAACCTGTATCCTTTGATCACCAAGCTTTTGTTAGCATGCTTTCTCCCAGATGCCACCAACATCTGTTTTGCAGCCTATCACATATCTTAGAGGTGCTGTTTAACTTTTAAAAAAATTATTTGTGATCATTGCAATGAAACAAAATATGATAGAATGAATGTAAAGATAATGTTCACCCATGTAAACTAACACATAATTCACAATAAAAACTCAAAAAATAATTAATTGTTCTAAGACTATGTGTGTTTTCAAGGAAGAAAATTATTTCAGATATACTGGCATTTAAGTGTTGTGTATGTTAGGCCTTGGTGAGGCATAAAAGGATAAGCACTGGATGTTAACTGCAAGGTTGCTGGTTCAAATCCACTATCTGCTCCTCGGAAACCTTATACAGGGTTGCTGAGTTGGAACTGACTTGGTGACACTTATTGATGACTACAATATGTTAAGTTCATTTCTGTCTTTACTGATGTCTATTTTTTAAGTTTTTATTGTGAATTGAATGGTAATTTAGTTGGGAGAACACTGACTTTACACCATCATTTCATTGCAGTGATTACAATCTCTTCCGTGCATTCAACAGTATTTGCTTCTAGCTGTTGATGAGCTTTTAAGATCCCAGATACTACTTTATCAAACTGGGATATAAAACATTATATATAGGTCTCTTTTGATCAATGCTTTTTTAAAAAAAGTTATCAGTTTTACATTCAACAAATCATATACTTTATTTCATTACAATGATTATAATCCCCTCCATGTACCATCAGTTATCAGTATTTCTCTCTATTCATTTTAGCTCCTTTTTTTTTTTGAAAAAACAAAACACTCAGGCATATATAATAATTTACACCACCAAAGGGCACATTCTGCAAGCTGCTTCCTGGCCGCCAGCTCTCAGTCCCTCTCTTTCCATGAATCTAGAGTCCTCACATGCTTCCTTTCTCCATGTCCCCATCTCTGCCTCCAACTCTGGTGTCTCTATTCTGGATATGGTCCCGCATTCTGCTTGTGCTCTTCTCCCTTGATGGTCTTAGAGTCCTCTCTTTCTGGACTGTAAGGTTAACCACTTCCCTATTTTTGTTACAAAACTTTTACCTTTACAATTGTGACAGTCGCAATTAGTCATGATAACAATTATTCACTATTGAATCTTACGAATCTTACCCCCATCTCTTTTTACCAGACCTGTCTAGACAAGATGAAAACTATTTCAGTGGGGACTCTACCTTCCCCCGCACACTCTTAAACTAAACTTCCTTTTAAAACTTTGTAAGCCAGTCACTTTGTACCTTTATCACTCCCTCATTTTAGGTAGCCAATGTCTAAGTTGCCCGTCCTATCTAACCTGTATACAGAGGGGATAGTATTGATACTCTATGTGAAGACTCCTTCCCTCTCATCATTTGGTATTTAGAGTCACTACCTTCATGAGTACAGGTCAAGTTCATCAAGTTGTAGCAATTTATACTCATTTCCTTAATCAAAAAAAAAAATTTTTTTTTTTTTAATCTTCCTGTAGTCAAGTTCTGATTACCAAAGCCATTGAGGCTAAATCATTTGGGTACTATCCGCAAGTTTGGGTGTCCTTGTGCATCTCCCCTCACTTCATATCAGCTTGGATGCTTCACTCTCAGCTCTAGCCCTCTGTGGCTGTGTCATTGTCTGTGGGCCCAGGTGTCCCCAGGTCTCACCACACTTTGGACCAACCAGCTATTCCTCTTTTCTCTCTCATCTCCAGATCAATGGGAGTCTATGGAACATGGTTGATCTCAGCTCATTTCTTCATTGCTGCCTTTCCCCCTCTTGCACTCATAAGTAGACCAATGCGGTCTCCAGCAAGCTTACACATGCCTGCTCATATGTTCCCTATGAGATTCAGTCTTAGAAGGGTTTACTGCTGTCTTACTGACAAGAAAGCTGAACTAATTAGGCAAATGCAGCCAGATTATCCTTGCTTGGTTCACAGAGATCAGTCTGGAGGAATCTTCTCACTAACATAGTCTCAGGAGCTGAGGAACCCAAATCAGTAGGTTTGATGACAGGCTGTTGATGCATGGGGCTATGGCAATTGGTGAATCAGATCAGGTGATGGCCAAAAGCCCTACAAACTGGAGGTTGGCAGATATAATGAGCCAGATGCAAGATCCAGGGCAGGAGAACACGCTTATTTGAAACATCTTATAAATTGTAGTCAGGCTATGCCTTCAAGGAAAACTAAGGGTGGTGACTCAAGTCCCACCCTTTAGTAAGGTGGGAGCATCCTTAATCCTTAGTTCCACAGAAATCTTTACTCCTTGGTGGTGGTGTGGTGTCGATCCAGCTCCAACTCATCATGACCCTGTATGAGGTTTCTGAGAGTTAATCTTAATGGGAGCAGAAAGCCTCATCTTTTCTTCTGCAGAGCAGCTGGTAGATTTGAACTGTTGACTTTCTGGTTAGCAGCCCAACATGTAACCACTATGCTATCAGGGCTCCTTAATCTTTAATCCTTAGCCTTACCTAAACTCCTTAGCAACTCATTTAAAAAATGAGTCCATAAATAGAGAACTTTGGGTAGAAGGGCCACAATAAATAATTAACTCCCTGCAACTGGGTTTCCTGAGATTTCTGGGTACTGGCAGTTAGAGTTCTATGATCTCTTATCTTCAATTCTCAGATCCAAAAGGTTCTTTTGAAGAGTGAAAAGTTCTCATATTTTAGTGACTGGACCTGATCTGAGTTGGCATGAGGCTGTTTATTATCTTTCTTTACCCCGCGTGCTGTGAATTACATTTTGCTGAAGAAACGTTACTATTTGATGGAGTCCCTGTTGATAGCATTAATATAAAATTATAGTGTGTGCTCCATTTTACCTTCTGAAAATCTAAACTCTTTTGAGTTCTGAAAACCGACAGAAGGGTTTCATAGTCTGATCGGGGAAGTAGAATAGGCAGTGTTATGGCAAGGGTTTGAGGGAAACACAGACCCCCAAATAATTGCTTCTCTGTCTGTTTTGTGCGCTGTAACGATATCAGCGATGCTGCTCTCAGAGTTGATAGTGGCTATGAGATAACAGAAATTTTGATAAAAATTATTTTCTTCATCTTTATAGTCTTAACCTGCCAGGGATTTTTTTTTTTTTTTTAAGTGAGATATATGCTATTTTGTTATCTATACAATATCTACCTTTAAAAAAGTAACGGAGCAGGGAAACTATTCAGCCTGTTTTGCAGATTAGTATTCATTTCTTTCTTTCTGCCTTCTGTCTCTGGCCCCTAGGGGAGCATGTAACGGCAAGGTTTAAAAATGAAGTGGAGCGGATGGGTTTTGATATGAATAACGCCTGGAGGATTTCCAACATCAATGAGAAGTACAAGTGAGTTGTCTAGGCCCCTGTGGAGTATGGTTCACAGCCAATGCCTTTGCAGAAACACCAACTCTCATGTGTAGAACATTTGAACTAAGATGTTTTCTATTAGAGTTTTATTTATTGAGTCTTAAATGCATACTCTTCCCAGTATATCATGAACCTTTTGTTTCCATTGTTCTGACTGGTGTGGAAAGTAATTTTTATTTGACAGGATCCTGGGAATCTGACCTCCCCTCCCCCTTCCTGCTCAGTTCTTCCTGACCCATGTATGTCTAGGTATACTGTGTTTACAGACAGGCAGTTTATAGTCTCATCTCCATTTGAAGTAGGATTAGTGATTTAAATAGAGAGGAAGCATTTAGGACCTAGTTTTTATGATTATAATTTTACCTGGTATATGGTGGTTATGTGCCGTGGGGTCGATTCCGACTCATAGCGAACCCTTTACAGGGTTTCCAAGGTTGTAAATTTTTATGGGAGCAGAAAGCCTCATCTTTCTTCTACAGAACAGCTGGTAGTTTCGAACTGCTGTCCCTGAGGTTAGTAGCCCGATTTGTAACCACTATGCTACCAGAGCCCCTTATAATTTTACTTAGAGCCTATGTAATAGGCATAAGTGTTGCTCTGTTCTGTAATGTCTTTGATCTAAAACTGAGTTGACAGTTATGACCATTTAATCATTAAGTATAATTTAATCCTTATTACCTAGTAAACATTACCTGTTTTCTTTAAAAACAAACAAGAACAACAAAATGCCAAAAATATACTTGGGTGGAGGGAGGCAGTTAAACTAAAGAGATTTGGGTGATCCAAGTTTCTGTAAAACAAAAAAAGTTGTCCAGGAGATTAAATTGATGTTTCCTTCTCCTGAAACCTCCTTTCAGATTTATAGGCATGAATCATTCTATTGTCTTGAGTTGCCTAAGATTATAGTAGCCCTTTTCCTGGTCTGTCTGTGGCCATCAGAGCATTTCATTTCTTATTGGAAAAAACTACAGCTAATAACCGGACATAGCCCTTAACATGACCTTTGGCCCAGGAGCTTAGTGCACGGGTGTTCTTAGGAGCTTGGAGATACAGACTAGGCATATCTTTGCTTTTCTCAGTGTATAGTCAAAACTGAGACAGGGATGTGGAACAGACTGGAGGCGGGATGTCTGAGATCCTGAGGCTGCCACAGCCTTTGCTGCTCTGCAACTCACCTTTCTTACACCAGATACTATGAACATAAATGATCAGAAAATCATGTGGAGGCAAAAGAACAAAAACGTATTAAGCCAAGTTTGCAGGGGAAATTTTTTAGTTCAAAAGCCATTGTTTCTCAAAATCCATAATTCATCTGGATTTAAAAAAATTAACTTCTTGTCTTGAAGTCTATTAGTTCTGCCTCAGATGTTCAGGATATTGACAAATAAAGAAGGAAAAATGAGACAAATTCATTGTCCGTTAAAAATAAGATAAAAGGCATGAGATTTAATGGTTATGGTTAGAGTATTAACCATGATCTTTGAGTCCCCGGTTATATTGAGGAGTTTGTGGTTAGTATTGGGAAGTTGGAAAGTTACTCTTGGTCACAGCTCTTCTCCTGGTTCAGTGACTTTTAATTCGTGATACTTAAAATCTTCTGGAAATTGAGAACAGGAGGCACATAGTCTATTGTTAAGAATGACTGAAAAACAAAAAAACACAACTCCTAATCCAGTTTGGGGTTTTTTGCCTCTTTATAATGCATAGCTAAGCAGGCTAAGGCAGGGTAGTATTGGTATTATATGTTTTAGGATGAGGCCTAATGGCTTTATTGCCTTCACTATTGAAATGGATTAGGTCCTCTGTCGGAAGACAATGTTGGTAAAAAACCCATTTCCAGGGCACCATCTTGCCTAGCACACAGCCAACCAACATCTTCCCTAATTAAGAGTGCTTTTTTTTTTTACCCCCCTGAGTATAGTCTGAAGTGTGTTTTATAAAAATTGTGGTTAACAGATTGTTCACATTAATTACTAACTTGGTTCAATGGGACTGTGATTGTGTGTGCAGATGGGTTGGCCTGTAATGTTGTTTCTACATACTGTGGTTTCACCTCGTACTATAAATAGGGCACTCTGTTTGGTTCATAGTCTAAAAATTTGGAATTGTGGGTTCTTGCCTTTTGTCTTATGTTTCCCATTGACCTGTACAGATTCTCACAGCACAGAGTTAAAATGAAGAATAGAGACTCCCAACTCCCTGTTTTTCATTGAGTGTTAAGATTGCCAGATCCCTAAAAGACAGCATCAAGTGGAACACCCAAGATAGTATCACTTGATATATGAGGAGGCTTCACAAAGTTCATGTGGAAAGGGAATTAAAAGATAATGGGATTTTTCCATGAACCTTTGGAAGCCTCCTTGTATATGTAAATAAAAACTTAAAGCAACCCATTCTACTGAAGAAGCCAAGACTGAGTTAAGGTTCCCCTTTGCCTTTTAACTTGCTCTGGGGTAGCTCAATCCACATTTTCATACTGACTCACCTAGTGTCTTTCCCCTTTTTCTTTTCTTCCTGCCCATTTCCCCTCACCTTTTCTTCCCCTCCTCTGCTCTCTACCTCTCCCCTTCATCTTTCCTCTTAGGTTATGTGGTAGCTATCCACAGGAGCTCATAGTGCCTGCCTGGATCACTGACAAAGAACTGGAAAGTGTAGCAAGCTTCAGGTCATGGAAACGCATCCCTGCTGTTGTTTACAGGTAAGTCAGTCTGAGTGCCTCTGCTATTGCTAACCTGGGAAGGGAGGGGAGTAGTGGGGAGGACTCAGAGTGCTTCCTTCTTTCAAAAGTTGCTTCTTCAGAAACACACAGTACTCACTACATCCAGAACACTGTCAGTTTTGGAGATGGAATGAAAAAGGTGAACAGAAGTTTACAGGATGGTAGATAAAGGTCACAAGATGAAGGTTCAAGTGTAAAAAGCAGCATTTGAAAGGCTGGAGCAGGCTCCTCCCTTGGAGGAACATGGGATTTTTATCCCAACTCTGTCTAGCTGTGACTTTGAACACATTGCTTCAGGTTGCCCAGTTGTCATTAGAAATGAACACTTAATCATGTGGAATGGCTCTGAAAATTGTTCTGATTAGTTAGCCCTTTTTGATCTCATGTGGTGGTGTTGAGAGTGCCAGGATGTTGGCGTCTCAAGTTTAGGTAGCATTTATCAGAGACAGTTTCTTCAGGAGGAACTGAGTTTGACCTTGACCTTAATGGAACGATGGAACAACAATTAAGAGTGATTGAGGGAGATGGCATATACAAAGGCAGAGTGGCAAGAGCAGGTGAATCCTTTGGTAGGAAAAGCTTGCCTGTGTGCTTGCTGAATGTTGGTTCTCTGATCTGGGGAAATAGAATGTCTCTTGTTGTTAGGTGCCCCTGAGTTGGGTCTGACTTATTATGACCCTGTGCACAACAGAACAAAACACTGTCTGGTATTACACCATCCTCACAACTGTTACGCTTGAGCCCATTGCTTCTGCACTGTGCCAATCCATTTTTTGGGGGGAGGTCTTCCTCTTTTTCACGGACTCTCCACTTTACTAAACACGATGTCCTTTTCCAGGGACTGATCCGTCCTGATAACATGTCTGAAGTCTCACATCCTGGCTTCCAAGGAACATTCTAATTGTACTTCTTCCGACACAGATTTGTTTATTTTTCTAGAAGTTCATGGTTAAAATAAAAACATAATAATCTACTCTAACACCATAACTCAAACGTTACCAATTTTTCTAAGGTCTTATTCATTGTCAAACTTTCACATGCATATGAGGCTATTAAAGCAGCTTTGGTCAGGGACAGCTCAGTTAGTCCTCAAACTGCCATCTGTGCTCTTCAACACTGTAAAAGAAGTCTTGTGCAGCAGATTTGCCTCATGAAATACGTCATTTGATTACTTGACTACTGCTGCTTCCATGAGTTTTGACAGAGGATCTAAGCAAAATGAAGTGTTTGACAACTTCAGTATTTTCTCCATTAACTGTGTTATTGGTCCTGTGATGAGGCTTTTTGTGTTCTTTACATTAAGGTGAAACACATACTGAAGAATGTGTTTTTTTATTTTCATCAGTAGATAATTTAATTCCTCTGAGCTTTCAGCAAGCAAGGTTGTATCATCTGCATATCGCAAATTGTTAATGAATCTTTCTCTCCAATCTTGATGCACTGTTCCTCTTCATATAATCCAGCTTCATGGATTGCTGCTTAGTTTACAGACTGAGTAAGTATGGTAAAAGAATATAATCCTGGCACTCACCTTACCTGATTTTAAACCATTCAGTGTCCCTTTGTTCTGTTTGAATGACTGCCTCCTGGTCTGTGTACAGGTTCCTCATGAGCCCAATTAAGTCTTCCAGAGTACCCATTCTATGCAGTGTTGTTCATAGATTGTCATGATCCACACTGCTGAAAAGCTTATGTAGTCAGTAAAACACAGGTAAACATCTTCTGGTATTCTCTGCTTTTAAGCAAGATCTGTCTGACATCAGCAATGATAAACCTCTTTCCACATCCTCATTGAACCTGGCTTGAATCTGTCAATTCTCTGTACATGTACAGTAAAAATCAGCCATTTTTTAATTTAGCAAAATTTTAATTGCATGTTATATTGAGATATACTATCTTTTGATTTCTGCATTCCTTTGGGTCACCTCTCTTTGCAATGGGCACATGTCTAGAAAGGTAGAAATTGTCTATTCTTTTTGGAAAGCAGGGCCAGGCATTCATTTTTCTGTATAGGAGATATTCTTAAGGGAAATGTTTTTTTTCAGATAATTGTGTTGACCAGAGAAAGAGACTAGAGGCAAGGAGACCCATTGCTAGTCTAGATATGATGCCCTAAGGCCTTTATTATGTAGACTCAGACCCTCCAGTAAAGGAGACAAGAATGAACGAAATACGACACCAAGATACGAACTTTGGGAGATCAGGAAGAGATGGTTCAATTGACACTGATAAAAATGTTGTCGTAGAAATGTAGCTAGACTTGGCATTTCAGGATCCTTCTTATGTTCAATTAGAAAATGATGTGCTTACTGCCTTTCACTTTTGCTGTTAGAAGGGGCTTTGGTTTGAGAAGATTAGTTATGGTCAGTGAGAATGGGGAGTATAGAGTTTAGTCATCTGTGACTGTCTTTGTGATTGAAACTTTGAACATGTAAGAGCAGTTTTAAGAAGAGATGTCTAGAAAAGGATACTGGAGCTTGGTTGGACAGTAGATTTCAAAGCTAAGAGACAGGAAAGCCATGGGAGACAAAGTTTCTAGAAGGGGGTGTGGTGGCATGACTAGAGTACAAGTTTTGGATTCATAGACCTAAACTTAAGTCTTCTCTGACACTTTTTTTTTTTTTTTAGTATTATGATACTTTTTAAAAAGAAATTTATTTTGTTGAGAATATACACAGCAAAGCATACACCAATTCAAATGCTATTAGGGACACTGATTATATTCTTCAAGTTAAACAACTCTCACTTTCGTTTTCTAAGTAGTTTCTCTATCATTAACATAAATTCACTGCCTCTTTAGATTCCTATCCAATTTTTGAAATTGCTCAAATGTCAATTTGATCTTGTAAAGGAATCCTGGTGTGGCGCTATAGGGTCAGCACTTTACTGCTAATCCCAAGGTCAGCAATTCAAACCAGACTCTCCTTGGAAGCTATATAGTGAGTCACTGTGTATCAGAACCAACTTGACTAGTGCTTAAGAACATTTTTAACTATTTAGTCCTGGTGTGGCGCTATAGGACAATGCACTGGACCACAAGGTTGGTGGTTCAAACTCACCAGCTGCTCCTTGGAAACTCTATACAGGGTCACTATGAGTTGGAACCCATTGACGGCACTTAATAACAAGCCAAATTATTGTTTAGTTTTAAGACTTCAGGAGATATTTTTGATTTAAAGATTATCTCAGGGCAATAGCTTTAGGGTTCATCAAAACTTCTGGGCTCCAGGAAGTCTGTAGACCATGAAAATATGAAATTCTGTTTGTATTTTTTTCCTCTTTTGATCTGGATTATTCTGTAGAATTTTTTTTTTTTTTAATGTTTTAATGTGAATTATGTGATAGTTTACATGGGAGAACATTAGCTTTACATTCATCCTATCAGATATCGTTTCATTGCCATGGTTACAATCCCCTCCATACATCATCAACCAACCAAAGGGTATACCCTGCAAGCCTGTCCTTGCCCACCCCCCACCCCCGGTCATCAGCACACAGCTCCTCTCCTTCTCTGGGTCTAGAGTTCCCAGCTGTTCCCTCTCTCCACGTCATTGTCTCTGCCTCCATCTCTGGCTTTACTGCTTCTCTGGGTAGGGTCCTGCATTCCACTCTTCTCCCTTGATGGTCCCAGGGACCGCTGCTCCTGGACTGCAAAGTCAACCACTCCCCTCATTTTGCTACAAAATGTCTACGTTTACATTTCCAACCCTCAGTCAGTCCTGGTAGCAATTATCCACTATTGTGCCTCATGAGAGCCATCCCCATCTCCTTTCATCAGCCCCGCCCTGAGAGATTGAATGCTACTACATGGAGATTCTACCTTCCTCTGCGCTCTCTGGATCTAGGCTCCCTCTGGAAAGCTTGTACACCAGTCACTTCTTGCTTTTGTAGCCCCCTATTTTGGGTGGCCAATGTCCAAGTTGCCCATCCCTATCTACCCTGTGTATCGAGGGGCTGGGAATGATCCTTGCTGTTAAGATTTGTTCCTCCTTTTGAGCTACTGCATCCATAGGTGTAGGTCAAGTTCATCAAACTGTATTAGATGACTCTTTCTTTTCCTCTTCTTTCTTTTTCTAGTTGAATTCTGATCAGCCATTGAAGCCAGGTCAAGTGGGTATTATTTGCAAGTGTGAATGTTCTTGTGCATATGCCCTCACTTCTTATCAAATGGACGCTTCACTGTCCACTTTAGTACTCTGGGCCTAAGAGTCCCCAGGTCTTGCCACACTGCTGGCCGTCCAGGTCTCCACCCAGGTTCACAGGAGTCTATTGAATGTGGTAGGGCTTAGCTTGCTGCTTCATTGCTGTTTCTCCCTCACTTATCGGTGACCAATGTGGTCACCAGTCAGAGTGCATGTCTGCTCATGTATTCCCGTTGAGTCTTAGTCTTGGAAGGGAGTTTGCCCTGAGGGGACCCAACCACTTACCTTGATGTCTCCTGGGCAAGCAACTTGCTCGTTCTTACAGTAGTTAATCGGACTGCCATTATTGTTTTGTATTTTTCCTGCGGGTCTTTCTTTCAAGAAGTATCTTCTGTTCTTCTAGCTGCTCCAGGCTGGTCATTCTTCATATTCTGGAACTGTTTCAGATGGTATCTTCTTGTAATGTTTACGTTTTCCATTTCTTTTTCCCAATTTGCCAACTTTTTGGACTCTTTAAGTTTATGGCTTAATTAGATTATGCCAAGAGGCATGCCGTTGAAATATTGAGATTGTATGCAGACAAGGATTCACTTCCTTTTGGAATACCCACTGAGGTAACCAGTCTGTTCCTTTACTCCTCTGAAGGCAAGTTTTAATTGTCATCCAGAATAGAGATGGAAATTATTTGCCGCTGGCCTAAGTCGAACCCATAAAAATTTTAGCTTTAATTTTCATCACCTACCTAAAAAAGTAGGTCGCCAAATTTACTTGTCACTCAAGTAGTAAGGATGACAAAGGAATTAGAGAGTGCTGAAGATGGAGGGGATTTATGAGTCA